ATTTTTGAACTAATATGATTCTTAAAACTATAGAATGTAAAGTTTAAATGGGCCTTTCATGTTATATCATTAAATTTAGTAATACTATTTCTCGGGCATTAGGTTTTAACTCTTATAAGAATATACATATTTTTTTCTGTTAATGCAAAAATATTTTTCCGATGTGTTTTGGATATTCTTTCTCTAATAAAAAGAGATACCATTTTGTTTTCGTTTGAATAAGAAAGAATATCAAACATTTTTTTTAAAATTTAATTAGCCACAATAAAGAAGGAGCGTTGCAATGCTACGTGCTACATTAAAGACGTCTTTAGAGTAACTGAATCACTGTTCATATAGAAATCGCAGGTATCCGTCTCATACAACAACGCCCCCTATTGTTCGTTGCGATCGCGAATGAAGCCCAACTAAGTGATTTAAATGCACCATGTGACTTAAATAACGTGGTTGCGTTTAATCATGTGATTGTGCTTGGCGAATTAAAATTGCAGCAATTAGGCTTCGTTTGTTATCATTCCGAATTTATTTTTGAATCAGATTTATTGAGATACCTGTAAGTGACGTCACACTTGCGATTAAATCGTGATTGGCTTCTGAATCGTGGCTTAAACGAATGCTACGATTTACCCAATAGACGTCGCTTGCATATATCCAATTATAAATATAGTTTCAGAGGATTTGAGAAGCCAACGGTTTCTCAAAAAGCAAAAAAAAACTTTTTAACTTTAAATTTTCTTTAATTTGTCACCCGAATGCTACCTTATTTTGGAATAATAGTTGTAGTTGTAGTTTATTTACGTCGCATTAGAACTGCACAATGGGCTATTGGCGACGGTCTAGGGAAACATCCCTGAGGATGATCGGAATTTTTAATCTAATTTGAAAATTTATTACAATCGAATTATTTTTATTCTAATTTTAAAACATGTTTGTTTGCAAATGTAAAAATAGAGTTGTAAATCGGTTTTTTTTTTTAAATTTAGTATACATTGTTTAATTATGCAGTTACAACATCATATTTATGAATGAGCACTTTGATATGGTTAGATTGAACTATTTTCACACATGGGCACTATTGTATTATCTCTCTTAAATTTCGAGAAAACAAGCGAAAATATTCAATTAAATCTAATTTCTTAAATGGAAATTATTTTTAATGAATGTATATTCTTATGTGAAAATTATCCATAAATACTTTCCCAAAGTTTCGAAAATAACTCTTCTAATAGTCTAGCATTCCGCCAGAGGGATGAAGGTTTGAGGTTTGTTTAGTTCAAATCGAAAGGATAGTAAGAGGAAAAGCAAACGATTCTCAGGATCTGTTCGTGCAACGCCTGAATTTTTATTGTAGAAGCTATTTCTTTGTGTAACTTTTGTTCCATTCTAATAACGAAATGGCAATCTACTTTTCGGGATTAATGAGAATCGTTTATAGTTGTAAGAGTCTTCTCTTATAATTATACTTTGCGAAAATAAATAACTGAATAATAATGATAAATAAATATTTTTAATTTTAATAAAAATACGTATTAATAATTATCTATGTAAAATGCCAGTATAAGAAGAATTATTGAAAGAAAAACTCGATTGCGTCGAATTTCATTCTTGGTTGGTGAGTATATATTTTTATTTTACAACTGAATTTTACATTTCTTGCAACATTTATAATACAAATTTTTTGAGTCGGTAAGTAATTACTCGTATTTCTCTTTCTTGATTTATAAAAGTAATCTAATTTAATTTTCTGAATGAAACTGAGAGAAATCACTTTCTCGAAATTCAATTTTTCAAATTAGACACTATAGTTTTTTTTTCTCCATCTAATCATCCAGCATTTTTTATTACTTTATTTGTATTTTGAAACAGTTTCACCTGCTAATTTTTAGTTTGTTTATTAATTTGGTTTGATTTATTAATCGATCGCGTTGAATTTCATTCTCGGTTGGTGAGTATATATTTTTATTTTACAACTGATTTTTACATTTTCTTGCAACATTTATAATAAAAAATTTTTTAGCCCGTAAGTAATTACGCGTATTTCTCTTTATTGATTTATAAAAGTAATCTAATTTAATTTTCTGAATGAAAACTGAGAAAAATCACCTACTCGAAATTCAATTTTTCAAATTAGACACTTACAGTTGTTTTTTTTCTTCTATTTAATCATCCAGCATTTTTTATTACTTAATTTGTATTTTGAAACAGTTTCACCTGCTCATTTTTAGTTTGTTTTAATAATTTGGTTTCAGGTTATTAATTCTCAAGCATTGTGGTAATCGCACGTGTTCTGATATTCTACACCATTTTACTTGCTGCTTTCCTGTAGATTAAATTGGTTTCTCCCCTTCATGATGAATAAACATTATCAGGGCCCGCGCTAAGCATTCGCCATATCGCCAAATTCCATAAAATCGTAAATTCGACTAAAATTATAGTGTTTTGGTGAATCAGCAGTAAGTAACTGTTTGAGAATTTAATTTTAATAAAAAATAATAATATAATGTACAATTAAATAAAATATTTCACACCATAAGTATGATAATGATTTAGTGTTATCTATTAATTAAGCTACAAAATCAGACTCAAAAACGAACTGTCTTTGAATGAATATACCCCGTGGCCAAGAACTTTTTTTTACCTTTACAATATAGGAATCCTAATCTGAAAAATGGGGCTCTAATCAAGTGAACATCGGCGTTCATAAACTTAGGCGCACCCCTCTTTAAGATTTATAAATGCTCCCAATCTTAGATTTAACACTAACTTTTTATCTTTTGAAACAAAAACGCAATGAAGTAGTATATGTATTTATAATCAGTAATTTTATTTTAATTTTTATTGATTTATTTATTTTAATTTTAATAAATAATTGCAATGGAAAGGCAGAATTTAGAAAAGTTCTAAATTGAAACATTGTATACACTTACCGACCTACCACATCGAAATAAAATTTATCTAAATATTACGAGAAAATAAATCACAATCGTGTAAAAATTCCATGTAAAGTTTAGTTAAGGCTCATTATTATTTGTAAAGTAAATTAAAAAATATGTTATAAATTCAAATTTTTTTTATTGTGTCGCATATAATTGTTAGTTTTTTATGGAACGTGCGTCGTCGAACCTCGTATATCAATAGTAAATACTACATAAACATATGTATTATTTTATTAACTTAATTTTGTGAAAATAATTTTGAAGTAAAAGGTATAAACGTGTTGTGTGTCTTTAACTAATATATATTAACTTATAACTAATTTATATCTAATTTTTATAACTAATAACTAATTTTGTGCATATTAGAAAAAACAAATTTGAATTCCGCCCGAAAAATACAAAAAAGCTACTAAAATTATTTCATTATCAAGCAATTATGTTAGTCATGCAACTCATTCCTTGTAAACCCTTAAGTTATAAATTACTTTATATTTATTAAGATTTGAAATTGTTAAAAATGTCAATTAATCCTTAAGTAAAAATTTCCACCTCATATTTGGCAAATATAAGACTATTTATACAAATAATAATAGTAATAAAGATAATAATAATCATATTTTCAATAAAATGAGAGAAAAGTTTAAACTAAAACCAATTAAAATTTGAAAATTAACATTTAAAAAAATAACTGTGAACTAAATATAGTTTAAAAGCGAGAGAAATGAAGAAAAGCTAAAAAATCAAAAGAAAGAATGAAATATTCATAGAATTGGTTATTGGCTTTTTATTTAAATATTTTTCCTTTAACGGATTAAAATATCCATCGAATCAAATTTCCAGAACTGACGTGGGGCATTTTTTATTCAAGAATCGTCTAGCGAAATAAATGTCCCATAAATCTTATTTGCTCTTAGCGAAAACGTGTCATAATAATCTGGTTTGGTTAAATAAATTTAGAACACTGGCAGTTTTTATCTGAAAACTGTCATTTTGTAATTAAGATTACTTTTCCAATTTTAATAATTTAATAAATACTCGTTTGATAGTTTGTTTAAAGTTAGGATGAATTGTAATTCCAATATTTTAACATTTACTTGTTAAAATGCAAACTGGCCGGGATAGCTTGGTTAGCAGGGAGCTGTACTCATGTTGTGAGAACGGGAGTTCGAATCCAGCCGACCGAAGACTCCCTCTGTAGTGAATTGTGACTAGTGCACGTTAAATCTGTCATGTCACAAAGTTCTCCGTGTTCCACTAATAAATCAATACCTCTGGGGGTACTGAATTGGAGATTGATCGTTCTCTGGTTCAGATCAAAATTAGATCTGTGGATGAATGAATGGATTTAGGAATGGGTTGGCCACATAAACGGGTGTGACAGAAGTCGAATTAATGGTCATAGATGGCGCCACTGGAAATTATGAGCAGTCACACCCCTCTGCCTTAATGGCCTACGACAACAGCAAAATGTGAATTGTTTTGTTTTATGCAGATATCGTCATTCCGTTGTCTAATTATTTATATTAATCATTACTTAATAATTCGTTAAGTATAAAAACATGATTATAGTATAAAAGAACTATATACCATTTGAAAAAAATCTTTTTTACAGTTAAATTCGTAGATCAGCAATCATGTGAAAACATTTGATATCGACAGGTTAAATCAAAAAAACATTTTATCAAAATCTTCTCAGTTTCAGAGCAAAGGGCAAGAATTTGATAAAATTTCCCTTAAAGAGAGGCTTGTTGGTCACAATATCTTCTAAACACAGCAGAGCGTTCCCTTGAAATAAGCGTAAACTCTTTGACTCCGAATTTTTATTAAACATTTTTCTCATACTTTTTTTCATTAACTTAGGTCAAAATTGGTGAAAAAATATTACATTTAGCATTTCATTAATTTATGGTTAGGTAATACAGCATGAAACGCAGGTCTTTTTTTCTGCGTTAGGTATGAAATCCTCCAAACACGGGTAATTTCCATACAATAATTTGTACTTATTTGCAGTTATTTAAAACCAAGAGAAACATTTATTCATCATTAAAATTTCTTTTATTTGCAAAATCAATTGACAATTTTTTGAAAGACTAAAAAAAATAAATTATTTCTAGCATTTTTTTTTTAATTAATTTTTTTATTTTGTATTTTAATACAAATATAATTCCGATAGCCTATTAGATTTTTTAGTAATTATTAGAGTGTTTTTTTTTTATAATTAAAGAATACCAAGAGCCGCGGTGGCTCAGGAGATAGAGCGTTCGCCTTTCAATGAGGTGAACCGAGTCCGAGTTCCAGCGATGGCTGAACGATATGAATTTCGCACCCAGCTTGAACCGACCTCAATGTTGTCCTCAGTGGCAAACTGATCATGGGTTAGACTCTCCTTGCCATCAAACTAAACGTGGCAGGTTTCTGTGGTTTTCCTCTCCATGTAATGCAAATGCGGGTTAGTTCCATCAAATACTCCTCCGCAAAGGCGAAATTTCCCCCTATACTGCAGTTCCTTTGTCTTTTGAGTTTGGTTCAAAATTACAAGGCTACGGAGTTGAACATTAGTAGTCGTAAACCCAAAATTAGGTCGGCTGTTCCACAACGGCTATAAAATAAAATTAAAGAATACCAAAATGTATTTTTGCCTCTAATTACAGGGTCAGAAAAATAAATATATATGTATTTAAAGGACACCGGTGACCCATCTGCGTCAAAGGGTTAAGGGAAATATCTTTTCGCATCTGAATCCAATCATGGGGAATTATTTGATACCGACAGAGAAAATCTTACTTTATCAAACTCTTCTCAGAGTTCCTGAGCAAAGGACAAGAATTTGATAAATATTCTCTTCGTTCTCTCTGTTATATATAGAATATTTATCATATAGAAGAATATTTATCATATTATAGAAGAATATTTATCATATAGGGAATATTTATCATATTCTCAATTTTAATAAATCTTCTCTTTAACAACGGCTTTTTAACAAAAGTTAGACATCAAAAACTCTAGGATTATATCAACTCATTTCCTATAAGTTACAAGTAGTATTTTATTTCCTACTTTTTTGTACAATAACATAGAAAAGTTGTTGTTTTTTATAAGTTATTTAAAATCTATTTTATACAAATCTCACATAAAGCATTCATTTCTTGAAAAAGACTAGATATAAAAAGTCTGAACCCCTCTATTTTTGCCTCGAAAATTAGGTAAATAGGTTTTTTCGAGATTTAACAACAAGAATTTCCTTTTACGAATGAAGAAATCATAACTGCATATAAAATATACATATTTCTTAAAATTTTTCCGCGTAAGTGTGTCGTTGAACATTAATGGTATAAATTAGAAAAATATGTCCGGAAATTTAACAATAGGTCACTTTTTAAGTATCATTTGGATTTAATGACACAACAATTATTTTAACTCTCGGTAATTGCTGTTTGTGTCTTGTTTTCTAATAAAATATTTCATTTTATTTAATTTGGAAATCTATCGGAAAATAATGCTTGGCAATAAATGTTGCTGCTGTCTTTGGAAAAAGAATTTATTACAGCAAGAATGTGACTAACAAGGTAAGGGTTTGGAGCGTCGTAAAAAATAAAAATTCAATAAGTGTCCAAATCATATAGTTTTAATTTAAGTTAAACACTTTCAGATCTAAATGTAGTCACTGTCACACTTA